CTATGGCTCTACGCAATGTTAATGAATTTCGAATGATTCTGCCCTCTACCGGCCACACTCAAACAATAACAAGGGATGTTTCCAGTTTTTTGGCCGTTACTGCATTAATGCTAAGTAGGGCTGAGTGCCAAATATTGCAGTGTGAAACAACTGGGTCTTGCCCAACTATACACCATTTCTTGGTATAGGGTTATGCAACACCTTTTCCAGAGGTGTTGGACCGGGTAAAACGGATGGTACAGGAGTGCCTCCCCGTCTGACGGTCCAGAAAACCCTGCAGTCTGGTTCTGATGGGCGTTTTCCTTCCTAGGCGTCCTTGGAGGATTGAGTAGAGAGCCAGCCTATTATCGTGCTCAGCGCAGTGTTGATGCCAGAGAGATCTAAAGTAGAAATGACAGTCGCTCCGGACTTCCGCTATTCCACTGATTGTCGCAGCGCTCAAAACGCGGACGTGAGAAAACCCCATCTGCCCCATAGAGCCAGACTGCAGTTGTGGTGGCGATGGGAGGTGGCAGCGCGCGGGCGGCATTCTCACCTGGACCTATTTTTTGGTCGAGAAAGTCGACTGAAAGGGAATGTCGTGAGTGCCAAACAAGTTCCCACTTTCAGTACTGCCGCTAATGGAGTCTCCTAACTCACACCTGTTTTATGGCGTAATTTGTCAAAACACTCCCGGCACGGACCGTCTTGTCAGTTTTTCACAACCTCCTGAATAAAAAATCTTTATTGGACCTAATGATAAAATGGAATTTAAAACAAGCTTCTGACAAAGTTGGGCAAGGAGCAGGTACAAAAAAGGCGATCAAGTAAACTTTTTGATACAGTTGTATTGAATTGCTCACAAACAGACACTTAGACAAGCTTATTGGTCTTTAACAGCCTTCTGAATCGGAATGTTCTTGGCATTGAGTGCTGGCTTCACCTTCAGCTTTGGTGCTTCGATGGACAGATGACCTTCTTCAGTAATAGTGGATCGAAGCTCATCCACGTTGACATCCTCCGGGAGGGTCCACTGACGAACGAACGATCTGAAATACGTCAATCTTATGACTTTTCCAATATTCGGCGCTGTTCGGCTTGGGAGGGAGCGACTAGTTCCTTCTTCTGCTTGTTCATATAATTTGACAGGTATCATTTTGATGGGACTTGTAAACCAAGACTGTTTTGAGCGAGCCCTTCGGACAAGAATTTACAGGTCTTCACAAGGCGACCCTTTCAAGCATCACTGAGTACGCAAGTGCAGGAATCGCTAAGTACCTTTTGGTGCTCCCACCAAGCCGGACTGCGCCTAGACTTCTGAAACCCGCTCACAAGACCTACCTCATAGCGTAGCCGTGCTCTTCCTTGGTCTCCTGTTTCCCCTCAACTCGGCCGCGAGGATCCACCTTGATTCATCTGCTTGAAGCTACTGACGTCAATTTAAATCGCAAATCTTTGACATCGTCAGTCAGACAATCTGTAAGGTTTTCGGTGATGGAAAGATTCAGAAGGAAAAGCCTCACTTACTTTGTCTAACTGGCCCACTGCAATTGATTCTTTTCTTGAATGACGACGTAGGGCTCGGTCAATGTCGCTGATTTCTGCGAAGACGTCGTCCAGTAGACGAGGCAGCATTGGTGTTGTAGGAAACAAGCAAATAGACATGGTCGAATCACGAGAACTGGGGCAAATGGGGCTTAGCAACACACACAGCTAATTGTCGTTTTGGGAGGTAGGAAGCGGCGGGAGTTAGCGTTGGTGGTACGCTGTTACGAGGCATGTAGGGGAGGACTACCCTGGCAGTCTGTGCCATGGTTGTTTTCAGCCTCGTTGCAGATCTGATGGTGTGTGCTGCGCCAGTATGAGCTCTTTCCAGCAGCAGGCATACTCCAGTTGCCATTTCTGACATTTTCAGAATTTCCTTAATTCCTTTTAATATCCTATGAAAAGCTTGGTTTATCTGGAGGAGGTCCAGATTACACAACTGTTCGATAGCTGCCTTCTACTAAGAATCTTGTCGGGGTTTTCCGTACGGTGAATTGAGGCAGTCTGGGCGAAAGGGGGGGGGGCATTTTGCACTTCTGGTAATTCCCATCTAGACAGCCTCTTCTCGAGTTGACAGGTTTTACCATGATGGCTTGACGAGCTTGCTCCAGCTTCACAAGAGTTCACAGGTTTCACCAGAGTGAGACTTGTAAACCGGAACTAGTGAAGCAACTAATTGTAAGGTGCGAAATTCCCCTCCTCCCCACTTTTGCTTCCTTCCTTCTCTCTTTCCTTTTGCTTTTCCATCTCCCTTCAGCAGCTGGGCCAGTAGATACGATGAGAATCTACCTTTGGAGGGCATGTTCAGTTGACAAGGGCTGCGACACCCTGATGACACTCAACTGACTAAACTGAAGCCTGGCCAGGTCGACTACTATAAGGATGGAGCAGAAATTCTCGAGACCGTTGCTTTCACGCGCGTCACTTGGTCCGCAATTACGACCCTTCTCACCGTGGGATAAAGAGATGAGTTTGTACGGGTTACCCGGTGTTGACCCGTAAACTCCTGTGACCAAAGTGGCTCACTCGAACAGTTCCTTGGCTTCACAAGAGTTTGCAGGTCTGACTTTGTGAGACCTGTAAGTTAACAAGGACTCACAAAAGGAAACTAGCGAAAGTGCAAAATGCCCCCTCAATGCCGAACAGCGCCAGATACATATTATTCTATTGATATCAATGTTCTAATAATGATATATTGATATTGCTTCTGTTGCTCCTCCCACACTCGGCTTTATATGTTCTGCACCCCAGAGCCATTTGAGAATTTTGTTAGCATTTCAGAACGCCCTCAGCACGCCAGTGAACTATGGAGCTGCTGCTAGTGAACCCTCGTGCTATGATGTACGATGCTATGCGAGATATTGATCTGGTAGAAAGGAGCATTTTCCCGTACTGGAGAAATGCTGATCATTCAGTACTTCATGTGGCGAATGATACTGTGAAGGTACGTTTCCCTGCCGTATTCTGTCGTCGTGTGCCTGTCCATGCCAAGGTACATATTTGCCCATTCAGGCTGTCGACGACGACAAGAAGTTCGCCGTCACGCTGGATGTGTCCCAGTTTCGCCCAGAAGAGCTAAATGTGCACTTGGAAGATCGAGTACTGACCATTGAGGGCAAGCAGGAGCATAAAACCAAGAACAGCTCCCTGCATAGGTAAGTATAAGTATAGTTTTGTTCGCTGTGGATGCTGCGAAAGGGGGGGGGGGTGTCAGGGGAAGTCGAATGGGTTTGGCTCGGTACCAGCCGGTTCTCCACCAATTGCTAGAGGACAGACTACAGCAATGGTGGAAAACGGGCTGACGCTGTGCTAAATCCAGACGGCCTGACACGCCCCATCATCCGCAGCGAACGAGGGTGTAAAACTCCTGAAAACTAGCACTGTTCTGGAAATCACTAACAAATTTCAGATCATTTGCTCGCAAGTGGTTATTGCCTGAAAATGTCGATCTGGATGCAGTCAGCACACAAGTTGACGAAAAAGGCCATTTGTCTGTGGAAGCGCCAAAGCACATTAAGGACCACCCGAAAAAGAAAACCATTCCTATCGTGGCTGCTGCATCTCCTTCATCCGCTGCAGCGAAGAAATGAATTCATTTCCTTGCAATTCTATATATGTATAACTAAATTTGCTTGAGAAATGCAATCCTTGAATGCATCGCATGAATTTTCTTCAAACTTCTTTCGGATTTCTTTCTTTTCCTTTGCTCTCCACATATTTTGAAGACACAGACCATGGTGACTGAGACGAAGCCGGGCTTGCCATTATGCCTATCTCTTCATCCTGGGGCGCGCCCTTCTTTACTGTCTTACAATTAGTAACAAGAGTGCCGAAAGAGTAAGGCATAATGATAGGCTCGATTCCGCCCATGCTACCAACATAGTTTCTCGATCGTTTAATTGATTACTGAACACACTCTTTTTGTACCATTCATACTTGTTGTCTGCAAAGTAATCACTAGGTTATAATAAACGTGATGTTCCTCAGTCGCACTAAATCTGAATGGTAGGGGCCTGTCTCTGGTAAACCACGGCGGTTTATAGAAGGTCTCCCACCCTTCCAAATAAAAATAGAATGAAACGAGTGAAGAGGAAGCTGGAGAAGTTCTGAAGAGAGGTGCAACTATTTTGAAAGCAGTCGAGACCGTGGGGCATGGATGAGGTCACAAAGCTTGCTGCATCGACGCGCAGAAAACTGGACAGCGCCCACTTTCCACGACCAGATATGCCCCCTCTCCCGAGCAAATATGCCCCTGATAATGGCATTTATTCCCTAAAGACCTCACCAAAGCGCACAGTAGCGTTTAGGGAAATCCTTGCAGAATGCTTTTTCGTAACACCTACGTGGTCTTGTTCGCTACGGATGTTGGAGCACGCAATGGAGTTGGGTTTGACACGGCTCCAGCCTCTCTTCACCAAATGTCTAAGAAAACGAGGACAATTGGAGGAGCTTGGGCTGGCGCAAAGTCAAGGTCAGCCCCCCCCTCCCCCCAACACGAGACAGCGTCCGCAGCGAATAGGACTGCACCTACTGTCCTATCGGATTTCGTAAAAATTCCGCCTTCGAAGCGGAGGGCAGGTATATAGCGGTGGAGCTCGTGAAACGGGGAAAATCAGCATTTAGCGGTGGAGCGCGTGAAACGGGAAAAACCAGCATTTAGAAAAATCTTTCTCAAGGTGGAAAACAACCCCGCATTCCAGCTGCTGAATACAGCCCCTATCGTTGTGATTTCTACGAAGATGGTACATCCTGAGCTGTAGTGCATTTTTTTCATCGAACGACGCCGCTTGCACGCACTGCGACGCGTCATCATTGGTATTCTTACCCGTCGTTTATTCATCATGATGTCTCCCAATCAGCTTTTCAAAAAAGCGGTGTGGTGAACATCTGCTAATTAGAAGCAGAGAATTCAATGTTATTCGCATTGATTCAGTGGATTCTGTATACCTCAGGCTGTTTTTGCTTCACTGACAAGTAATTATCAGTTAAAAACAACTCTATTTTCTCTGGAACCCTTGTTTACCAAGCGACGATTCAAAACTAATCAGAAGACTAAGATACGCAAAAAATGCTCAAAATGGACGCCTGTCTTCAGAAACATTTCGTGTTGCCTGTGCGTCTTCACGACCTTGCGAATACAGAAATTCGCCTTCTACTTCAGAAAATAGGGTAGCGATTTTGCCTGCAGCT